CCAGATCTCAAACCCAGTCTGTCAGCTTTCCAGCTGAAATGTCAACGTCTTTAACCACTGAACCATCATGCCCCCCCCCCATAATTAAGTCTTAACCCTACCTAATTACCTTCATAGTCCTAATACATATGAAATCAGCTAGATGCTGCCATTAAAATAAGAAAAATGTTCAAAAAAGTGTTTAGATCTGGGAACTTTAAAAAAATCTTTTACAGGTGTATTATTAAAAAAAGGAACAAATACTCATTCAGGAATAGGATTTAGCCATAACTACAATGTAACTAAGTAATATAAGGCTGATGGATAATACCACAATTGCTAGAATAATACTTTTTGTATTTTTGACTTCCTTCCTTCCTATTTTCTTCCATATATTCATTATTGATTTTCATATCAAGCCTATGCATTAGCTGAATATAAATTCTCCATCCTTGGGCTTAAAAGTGAATTGTTTCCTGTGAAAAGATGAGGTGAAACAGCAAACCACACACTATTTATGTTTGGTCTCTGCTTGTAATGTTCTTAGATCTGAATTGCTGTACATATTTGGTAGCAGAAAAGGGGTGTAGGTCGTTTTCTTGTGTAACGTGGCATTAGATTACTTTGAGCATCTTTGAGAGTTTAGGAAACAATGATAGATCTCTGTCTATATGTATGTTTATAAAGCATGGAATGCCTGCCTTTAAAATGTTTCCAATGTCAGGAGAATGTCAACTTGGAGAGCAGACCTGCAGATACCCTAGCGCTTAATTTGATTGACAGGTCTTACCTCCTCAACACTATATGAAAGACCTTGAGTAGAAGGAATACAGTAATATCAGAACTGATAGACCATTACAAATTTAACTAGTCAAAGGATGAGTCCATGTTTTATAGAAACTGATGATCAGAAGTTCAGATTTTGTAAACATGAGCCCTTTTCTGGGACACTCAATTTCTGAAGATTTGGGGGGGGGGGCGGAATTCATACAAATCTAGAACAGAATTACTGCATTAGAGAAATCTGCAGATCTTTGGAGTCAAATCCATTTGCTTGGCTTTACAAATCCATGACACAATGACTGTTTGGGCACTAATTTCATTAGAGGGAATGCCAGCCAACCTATAATGGGCACATTTCTCTATTCGTTCCGATCTGCTGTTTTCATTGTATTATTTTCAGTTTCAATATTATGGTTAAACATGTTGAATGCACGTTGTTATTTTTGAACAAAAGGGCTCGCCATATGAGCTCACACTTGGTTTTCTAAAGAACAAAGCACCCTTGGGGAATTTCTTAAATTATTTGCCATTGCCCACCCACCCACCCTCTCCTTCATTCAGCCTATTCCTTTTTAAAGATATAAAGCAACCCCATTATTGACTCTAAATCTATACAGAATCAAACAGTGTCGCTTTTCGTGTGCAGAATGGCCTGCTTTGTGGTGCTGGAGGGGAAACAAAGAAGGCTTTTATTCAAATAGCTTCTGTAAATGATCTATTTGAAATGCCAAAAGCATGTCACTGAAAACTGAGAATGGCCTAGTACACACCTACTTTAAAAAAAAAAAAGTAAAATGATATTTTTGAAGATAAAATAACATTTTCTTAAAAGGAAACTGCCCTTTTTTAAAGTTCCAAAATAACAATTGCTATATTCTCATTTAAATAACAGCGTAAACAGTACAGAACCTAACTGCTATTAGTGTGGTACTAATAAATTTGGAAGACAGGTGGGGGTTTTTTCTTCTTCTCCTGGCTTTGAAGCACAGATACTCACCCACCCCGGCTATGTCTTTCTGATAGAGTTGCAAGCTTTAAGAAGGACAGCTTTTAAATAATTGTCAGACCCTTAACAACAGTGTCCAACCAAGGAAGAAACATTTATCCCAGAGTCCCTTTAACTAAGTTCAAAGATGGGAAGAGGGGGATAGATAATATAATCTTGGTTACCCCCGTTATCTGGATGACCCACACTCTGTCCTTGTTCAGAAGAGCTGCGAAGACATGGCTCTTTACTTTGGCAAGAGAGAATGAAAGTTCTTTGGGGTTATTCAACATCTTTAAGGAACTGCTGGGAAGGTTCATCTATTGATTTGGGTTGAGCATAGTGATGATATTTCATTGTACATCACCAGCCCAGGTTGGACCAGTAATTCTGTGAAAGCTTTGAACCCATTGATAGCAGGGTTCCAATATTTCAGGGGCTGCCACAAAGAAGAGGGAATCAAGCTATTCTCCAAAGCATTGGAGGCAGGACAAGAAGCAATGGGTGGAAACTAATCAAGGACAGAAGCAACTTAGAACTAAGGAGAAAGTTCCTGACAGCTAGAACAATTAATCAGTGGAACAACTTGCCTCCAGAAGTTGTGAATGCTCCAACACTGGAAGTTTTTAAGAAGATGTTGGATAACCATTTGTTTGAAGTGGTTTAGGGTTCCCTGCCTAAACAGAGGGTTGGACTAGAATACCTCCAAAGTCCCTTCCAACTCTGTTATTCTATTATTATATCATATTATATTATATTATATTTATTATTTTATATTCATTGCCTGAGGGCTATACAGAAAAGTAACAAAATGGAAATGCTGTTCATCTATTAAATTTAGGCCTGATGTCTCAAAACTGCTTTACAAAAGGCAATTGGAATTTCTTCGATTTTTTTTTCTTGTAAATGTTTCACTTCTCATCCAAGAAGCTTCTTCAGTTCTGAAGCTTCTTCGAAGCGAAATATTTTCAAAGAAAAAATCCAAGAAAGTCCAGTTGCCTTTTGTAAAACATCTTTAAGGGATACGGTGGCTCAGCGGCTAAGATGCTGAGCTTGTTGATCAGAAAGGTCGGTGGTTCGAATACCTAGTGCCAGCTAAGGGAGTGAGCACCCGTTACTTGTCCCAGCTTCTGCCAACCTAGCAGTTCGAAAGCACATAAAAATGCAAGTAGGAAAATAGGAACCACCTTTGGTGGGAAGGTAACAGCAATCCCTGCACCTTCAGAGTTTAGTCGTGCCAGCCACATGACCACAGAGACATCTTCAGACAGCGCTGGCTTTGAAACTGAAATGAGCACCGCCCCCTAGAGTCGGGAATGACTAGCACATATGTGCGAGGGGAACCTTTACCTTTTAAAGCACCTTTGAGACAGCCATGACCTGGATGATTGAGAATCTCCATAGACATTTAGGCCCATTGATTACTCCAGACAACATGCACACCCTTGAAGGGGGTTGATTTGGGACCACCTGAAGCCACAACAACTGTTTAAGCAGCAGGTGGAGGCCATAGCCAGGAGGCTTTGTTCAGTATACCATGTTACAGCCCTACTGGGGTTGAGAAACCTTCACATCTCATTGGTGGATCACACCCTGCAGTTGTCCTATAGCAAAGGGGTTATCCTTGAAGCAAACTCAGAAACTGCAACTGTTATCGAAGGCAGCAGTTAGACCTACCCGGGAAATCTTATTTTAAATTGTGTTATGCACATTTTGCAGTCATTGCACTAATTTGTCTTTTAGGCTCAGCTCTGTGCTGGATATTAGCTGTAAAGTCCCTATATGATAGAATTAGATCAGAGACTGCCTAGCTAATGTCCCAACCCATTCTATCCCATTCAATCAACAATGGAAGGCTTGCAGAAAATGGCACCTGCAAATGAACTAAGTGTTCAGTAGACTTTTCTCATAGCCGCCTTTGAACTGTGGAACACTTTATCTCAGGAGAATGCCTAGCCCATATGCTTTAAAGTGTTTGAAAGCATTAAAAATCATCCTCTTCCAGCAGGATTTTGATCAAAGATTAAGATTTCAACCAGCAATCCAGTTTTCCATATGCTTGGTGGTATTTTTTTTGTTTTTAAGGGCTTCTTAATGTTTTGTGCATTACCCACAGTCGATAGCCTCTGCAGTGAAGCAGATTAGAATGCTTAATAAATAAATAAATTAGCACCAGTTTGTGAATATTAATAATTTTTGAGTCAAATCATTGGGTCTGGCATATATAAACCAATAATGTCTGCTGTTAGTGGGGGGTTTCTTTTATGATCTCAGATGGAAGCCTTTTCCAGCCATATCCCAGGCTTTATGCATTATGCATAAAATACATCTTTATCTAAGCTGTGGGACCTCTCTTTGCTATCCCATAGAAATAATAACCAAGTACTGAAATTAGTATGAAAATTATGTAGATCCACCTTGTAACAGATGCTCTAGTTCAGTGGAATTCATTGGATTATAATTACTGATTCTTTCCGTGTTCATAGGATACCTTACTTAAATTAGCTTTAATTTTCCTCTCCTTTTATATAGTACTAATCACAGTTTTTAATGCTTTTTTCACTTCCACAAAACTATAGAAGAGAGAGCTAAGCTTTTGAAACGCAGTGTTGTACATAACTATACTTCCCCCCCCCCGTTTCGTTTCTGTTAAGACAAACAAAATTACTGTCCACAGTTTGGATCAAATGTATCCTTTAATATCTTGTCTTTCAAATTATACATGCTCACCTATTACAGGTAATCCTTGACTTACAACCACAATCGCGGCCAACATTCCTGTTCCTAAGCAAGACAGTTATTAAGTGAGTTTTGCCCCATTTTATGACCTTTCATGCCACAGTGGCTAAGGGAATTATTAGAAGTGTTAAATTAGTACATGATGGTTAAGTGAATCTGGCTTCCCGGTTGATTTTGCTTGTCAGAAAGTAGCAAAAGATGATTATATGATCCTGGGACACTGCAACTGGCCATAAATATATGCCATTTGCCAAGGATCTGAATTTTGATCCCATGACCATGGAGAGACTGCAAGAGTCATATGTGTGAAAAACAGTCATAAGTGTCACTTCAGTGCTGTGATCAGTGATCAAACGGTTGTAGGTCAAGGACTATCTGCATGGAAATTTATTTATGACTACGTATGCTCTTTATTTTTATTTATTTATTAAACTCGTATGCTGCCTTTCTCGCCAGAAGCAATTCTTCAGATGTATCTGTACAATTTCCATGTTTCATTTCATGTAATCCATAGGAATACAATTGGAAAGACTACCAGCCAAGCAACATGACCATGTCTGAAATGCAGATGTTGGCCAGCATGAAAAGGCAGCAAAATGAAGAATTAGAACATAATGGACCTTCACATGGGTTGAGCGCCTCTCAGATCAACAATTGTAATATTAGCATCAGCACAAGCAGTGATGACACGAACACTTGGAATTCATGTCTCCCAGCAGTAAGTTTGAATTGTACCTTCCTTTTTGTGCCCTAGCTACCGTATTTTTCAGACTGTATTTTTTGCACCAGAGTATAAGATGCACCAAGATTTCAAAGACAAAAATATGGAAAAAAATAGTTTTTGGCCTCCACATGTCTGGTTTTTGCTCCCTCCAGCCCCCAGGAGCTCTCTGTAAGCCTCCCAAACCTGCTGCGCACCCCATTTTTGGGGAAAATGGGCCCATTTTTGGCCTCCCAAACTCTCCAGACATGCCATATTTGTTCTCCCCAGCCCCTAGGAGCATTCTTCAGGCACCCCAAACAAGGCATGAAATCCTGTTATCTTTGCTACTGGTTTGGAACGGGGCGCTCGCATGCGGCACTTCTGCACATGCACAGAACCTTCTACGCATGTGCAGAGCATCCGTGATGATGTCTGGGCGGGTTGACAGAGCCTCCTGCCGCTGCCACTACCAGTTTGCTCGAACCGGGGTGAACCAGCATAATACCACATCTGTCCCAAACCCTCCGTGTGCCCCATTTTTGTGAAAAACGGGTCCATTTTTGGCAAAAACGGATGCGCGGGGTGGGGTTTCAGGAGGCCAAAAATGGCCATATTCAGTGTATAAGATGCACCAACATTTCAACCCTCTTGGGGGGGGGAGTGTGTCTTATACTCCGAAAAGTACGGCAAGTCTCCAATTATACTGGACTCATTTAAAGAATTGTTTCTTGCTTTGCTTGTAATGAGTCTATCTCATATATTAGTTTCACCTTTTAAGTTGCATTACTGAAATAAATGCACTTTTGCACGATATTCTAATTTTTCAAGTTTCACCTGTATATTGTTGAACACTCTAGCAAGTATTTGTAAGAAAGGGAAACAAAACAGTAACATCTAAGATGTTAAGCTGGTTTGAAAGTTTAATATGGTGCTATAATACAAGACAAGGTTCATTTTCTTTTCCATTCATTTCAATGCACTAGAGTTTTCAGTTTATAGATCAGTTTATATTCTATGTCTTTATCTGTTCAGGTTTTTTCTCTAGAAATCCATCAAATTTAATAGTCGTCTGTCATTTTTCTGCAGTTGCTTGTTTTAAGGCTAAACCACAGATTCCTATATAAAAAATTTCCAAAAGCAAATCTCAATATTTGGCACAGACCATGCAGGGCCTCAAATGGGAGTTCCGAGCTGAAATCACAATGTTTTCAAAGAACCACAATAAGCAATAATCTAATAGTGCAACAAAAAAAGAGAGAACCTTCATTTACAATATACAATCAGCAAGTTTACAAAACCACATTGATAAAACAGTGCTCAGTTCATGTTTGCATCATCATTACCTCCTATCTTATTTTCATTGTTGGTACATAGAACTACTCTACATGTAATAGAATGTTTCAGGTTGGAAATTATAACTCATCCTTCTGTCTGTGTATTGGTACAGAAAGGACATAGAGATCCCTGTTCAAAGTATTGTATAATAAGACACTCTACTTATTATACTTTGTATAAAGTATTGTATTATTTTAGTCTCCCAGACTCACATAGGCAAGAACACTCAGCTTATATAAATTTAGAATATCCAGTAGATGGAAAGAACTCTACCAAAAGTCTACATGACATTTATTTTAGTTCATTTGTTGTTTTCAAACTCAATAGTTGAACATCTGCCGGAACTAAGAGTAATAAACCTCTTGGGAAACCTGGTCTTAAACCAGTAACTTTATCTGCTTCCAAGGCTCACTTGAATGCTAGGCATCCTAATCTTCAGCCTGAATGATGTATTAGATATGTCCTTAGGGGCCGAAAGAATAGTGGTTTGCACTAGCACTCCTTTGTTTAAATTCCCACATGGGCACCATATAATATTTGGAGCCAAAATTTGGCATCAAAAAACATTAAAGCTGCCGCTGTTAGTTCTTCTGTTTTCATTAAAATAAAAAGATAAATAAAAGAAGCATCCAGTGAAGATGCTCATGCCATCTGGGTAATATAGTCATCATGTGTTTTTCAAATCTTCATGGAATGAAACACCACAGTAAGATATTTAAAAAGATGGACCTACTCTATTCTACCTACCTTGCTCTATCCTACCCTACCCTACCCTACCCTACCCTACCCTACCCTACCCTACCCTACTCTACTCTACTTATTTTGGGGGGGAAATTTCTAACCAGCTTGTTCTTCTTAAAGTGCAGAATTATAGGTCTTATTGTTGTTCTGAGCACAGTGAGCATATATGAGATGATGTCTGGTTGCATCATCTCTGCGCAAAAATAGGAGAATATTACATCTTACAAGTTGGGGAGCATTAAAATCTTGTTTAGCTTTTTTTAAAAAACATGGAGTTAATGTAAAATTTAAACAATGTAAGGTCAAAATACATCCTTGCCTCAATTCTCTTTATATATTTACCATCAGAGCAACAATTCTGGATTGCATTTGACCTTAAAGAGACATGGAAGTACAGCTTCTGAATTCGGAAAAGAAGACTCCTATAATGGATGTAATTTTTTTAGCTTTTCCCACAATATCATTGTGAATATAAAGCAAATGTTAAATCAAAGAAAGCCTTTGGAAGACTTCACTTTATGGTTCTGATTGTTCATTAAGTGGCACAAGAATATCACTAGACACTGAGGCCTCTTTAAATCTCACTTGTTTGTCTCCTGTTACACCTTTAAGCTCTAGCTAGTCTTAGAGCCTTCAATTTAAGTGTTTAGCACATGGTTTGCTTATTATACTCCAAAGGCCGGTAGGTCTATAATTAGTCAGATCTCTCTTATTATCACCAATCCTTGACAATATGTCCTATTGGATTGATGAAGGTGAACAAAGATGTATCCATCAAGCTAAGGTCATTTTAATTATTTCAGCAAGGACAAAAATCACTACCCAGTGACTTCAAAAGGAGAAAGTGGTGAGCATCTTTGTTCAGTTTTATGTTGGAATCTGCACATAAATCTCTGAAATGTTGTTCCCATACTTGTATAAAAACTGATTGTTTGGATTCTTTGGGGTTCTACCAAGACCACTAGGGAAGAATCCCTTTCCTTGGGTGGCTGAACAAACAATGGTCAATTACTGTGTGAATTGCTTTCATCTTCTTCTTGTGGGTGAATTTGAAAGTAGGCATCTATAGAATTCCTACTTAGTTGCTGTGTGAATGCTGAGTTGGGGGACGGGAGATTATTTATTTATTTTTATTACATTTATATGCTCTCCATCTCACTGTTGATATTCTGAATGAATGGGATTTAGGAGAAAAATGAGTAAAACAGGTAACATGAATGGACGAGTGGAAACTGTACAAGAAAGTATAGAGAATTTGAAGACTTGAATCAGTGGCAATAACGATTGTTTGCTTGGAGAAAAATCTTTTGTTTTCCCCCAAAATATATTGTTTAAGCATGTCTATTGAAAGGTATATACGGCAAAGGGATTAATATCAGTCTAAAAGCTTGAGTGACTTCATTGCTTATGGTGAAAGATTTAGAGAATTGATGAAAAATATAAGGATATTCGGATACTATCCAGAGGGGTTCTTGGCAAAAAAAATCTTTGCAAAAGTAAAGATAAGAAGTGAGGAAAATTGAGAGGGATGGTAAAATAATTGCAGGAAGAGAAAGTATGGGTCATGTATAAAAAAAATATTAAAAGATATATTAATCCTGCAGCAAAATGAATATAAACTAGGTGTGATGTATAGAAGGTGCCCAGAACAGAGTAAAATAATTGTGACACAGAGTGCCATAGGGACTGTGTGCAAGTATGCTAATCAGAAGAATGAAAAGGATGTATGGTTGGTTAAAAGAAATGGATGAAGGGGGAAATACAAATAAGAGATTAATTACAAAAAAATGAAGATAGGAGAAAGAACAGATTATTGCAACAATATTCTTCTTCTTTTCTTTAGTTAATTCCTGTCCAATTCTCGGTCACTGTCTGGAAAAGTCCCTGCAGTATTCTTGGCAAGGTTTTTCAGAAGGGGTTTGCCATTGCCTCCTTCCAGGAGATGAGAACAAGAGATTGGCCCAAGGTCATCCATCTGGCTTCATGCCTAAGGCAAAGCTAGAACTCATAGTCTCCTGATTTCGAGCATGATGCCTTGACCACTACACCAAACAGCCTATCAGTTTTTTCAATCATACCATTTTTATATTTGCTATAGAAATTGCAGCCTAACTAATATATCTCTTTTGTTCATTTATTCTGAAATACAATGAGCCGGTCATTAAAAAGCATTATCAAAAGTAGCTAGGCAACAATCTTTTCTAGTTGCTTCTCTTGTTTGAAAATCTGAACCAGAAAGAAATCTGTACTAGAGTCCCCATCCCCGGTTTATAGTTTGAAACCAATATTTTTTTAAAAAATGTTTTCAGACAATGAATTATTTCTGTTGAGGTATTCGAGTTTCGAGTTTCATTTTATTTATATGCCGCCCTATTCCCAGCGGGACTCAGGGCGGCGCACAAACCCAAGGAGGGGAAGGGAAACACAAAAACTACACAAAAAGTACAGGGCATATAAAAAAACAACCAACAGCCACACGATTCGAGAGGGGAAGGGAACTCATCGACCCCAGGCCTGCCGACACAGCCAGGTTTTAACGGCTTTTCGGAAGGCCTGGAGAAAGGTGAGGGTCCGAATCTCTGCGGGGAGCTCGTTCCAAAGGGCCAAAATCACTCAGTAGATTTTGGCTCTAGCTATTCTGATGCTCGTAGTATATACTTTTGAGGCATTTTCCTGTAGTTTGGGGGGGGGGGGAATTATAAGTCTCATGCAATGTCGTTGGTATTCTTGGCAATTGAAGTTCTTGATTTGTTTTCAAGGCTATTGGAAAAAGCCCAACTGAAAGTCAGGCTCCCTTAAGCTTCCCTATCCAGCCTGTGTCAGCTGTTTGTCTAGTGAAAAAGTCATCTGTTGTCTAGTGAAAGTCATCTGCCACAACTAACGACTTGCTTGTCTCCCTTTATTCTTCTTCAGAGTAGCTAGGCTAAAATGGTTGTTGTTGTCAATTTATACAATAGGGCTGCTTTCAGAGAATGGTGCTGCTGACTCAGAATTCCTCCAATTATGAACACAGAGGTAGGAAGAAGGCTTTTATTGCAGCACTGATCATATTCACATTTCTAATGGATTTTACATGGAGTTTTCGGTTATTTCTGTATTTTCTGTGATTGTTGGATTCTCCTGATTATTTTTAAAAAGCCAATTATGTTTGCTAAGCACAATAGATGGTTCCTCGGGGAGTGTGCATATTATAAATGCCCCAAATGCATGATGTTCAAACCAATGATCCATTTTAAAAAATATGTGAGGTTCCCATGAGACTTTGAACAACATATTTAAACTGAATATCATAAATCCTTCAGTGTGTGATACCTGTTATGAATTTAGAATTCATTTCATGTGCCCGAAGGTCTCTTAAAGTACGTTATGGTATATTTTCTCCTATAGGAATATATATGTCAAGTTCTTCCACTCTGTCATTAGAACTTGGATTTGACATTAAACAAGGCATGTATTCACTTGGTCTGCTTTAGATTTCCAGAAGTATGTTACCATTTACGGCTCCAGGGCTGATAAAAATTAGGCCCTGCATAAGAACATTTCTATAGTGAGTGAAACCAAACTGCTGTGACCAACTTCATTTCTTCTTTCAATATTCTGCGATTCCAAGGCTTGTGTTTTTTTAAAAAACTGATGCTTAATTTTAGTTCCCCTCGCTTTCAGGGAGAAAGGTGTATGTTACGCATAACGTTTCTTGTGAGAAATGATACAATCTAGGCTTGTTCTAATTAATCCTACTTTCTTCCAATCTTACTTACTCATCAGAGCTTTGCTGATTTTTGCTTTGTAGATTATAGACAACTTCTCACTAGAAAGCAATGCTTTTGTTCGAGGTGTTGGCTGAATTTGAGATAACCTCTTTATCCCTAGATCTAATCTATGGCAACAGCACCACCAGAAGGCTGTTCTTTGTCTATCGTTTATCTTTCTTGTTTAGAATGTACGCTTTGTATATTTTTGATATAAATATTCACATTTAAATATAAATATTCATATTTATGTACAGAGTTACTTTGACCTTCCTCCTGTACTAGCCTGGCTTCAACCATATGCTGCTGTGGCATGATTATCTGATGTCCTTCTAGTTTTGTTGTAGCTTTAATAAAATTGGATGGAGGAGAGGGATTTTCTCTCAAGCTACAAAGGTTCAGAATTCCTATAGGCAAGCAGGCAGGAGCAGATGCTTACATACATTAATAACAACAATGCACTAAAGCTGTACTCTGCAGTCAAAGGTAGTTTACCAAAAAATGAAATGTAGTAACTAGGTGTGTCAGGAAATATTACTGAAATATAAATTGTTTAGCAGATGCTCCAAAAGATATAACAGCTTTGAGAATTTCATATTAGTCTGCTTAGCTGTCAAGTATAATACACTTTTTTAAAGTGACTGTTTTGCATCAAATCCAACTCTGGAATTTGCAAAGAAGGAAGGGAATTGAGGAAAGAAGAGAATGAGGTAATCTCCTTACACGTTCAGGAACTAATCAATTTATTTCCAGCTGTGATGCATCTAGAAGCATTTCAAGTCTGATTTTCCACATACAAAACAGTGATGTTTCAAACACATTGGAGATAAGCCATTTTCTTCAGGGTAGGATTTGTTTTAAAATACTTCAATCTTGGTCAAAGACCAGTATAGAATGAAACAAATAGCAAACACTTTAAAAGTAAAAGAGGAGGACCAAACATAAAACACAAACTAAAAGAATAATACGAAGTATTACTGTCACTATTTTACCATTGGAAACTATGTTTCTAGGACCTCCTCCCTCCCCCTCTCAACCCCCCCCCCCAATATTATTTGTCTGAAATTAAAGCAAAAGGCTAAAAATCTAAAACAGGAATGGATTAAAGTAAAACAGAGTAATGTAATAGGTATCTTATATACATATTTAATAGTGTTCAAAATTTAGGCCAGTTATAGTAAGGGATAGGTCAGTTTTGCTTACTAGCAGCATAAGAGAATATGGCAACATCCAGGAGTTTAAAGTCCCTTTGATCAGAAAGCAGTTTTTATGTATAGAAATCAGAGATCAGAGAAAACTATTTTTACCAGGCATGGGAAAATAAAACAGATTCTAATATTGATATAAGATCAGCAGCACAGTAAAATGTTTGCAAAGGATTCTGTGGTACCTGTAGACACAGTAGACATAATCAAGCAGCAAATAGAATTGTTTTGTATCCGCCTTTCAAAATTACATCAGGCCAATGTTAAAGCCTTTCTCAGTGGATACTAAAAAATTTGTTGCTGTTGGTTGCGAAGTTGTATCCGACCCATTGTGACCCCATGGACAACATTCCTCTGTCCTCTTCCGGTCCTCTACCATCCTTTGGAGTCCATTTAAGCTCACACCAACTGCTTCAGTGACTCCCTCCAGCCACCTCATTCTCTGCTGTCCCCTATTTCTTTTGCCTCCAATCGTTCTCAGCATTAGGCTCTTCTCCAGTGAGTCCTTCCTTCTCATTAGGTGGCCAAAGTATTTGAGTTTCATCTTTAGGATCTGGCCTTCTAAAGAGCAGTCAGGGTTGATCTCCTCTAGGACAGATCGGTTTCATCTCCTTGCAGTCCAAGGGACTAGATATTTTTTTGCTGGTCTACACATACAGCTGGAAGCTCAGGAGTACATGTCTGGGATATGCTAGAAATTTTCTCCCTGGGGCTCTCCTCCTTTCTCACAGAGGTTCAACCAGAGCAATGCTGAACCACTATGGGGAAAATGCTATCTTTCACCATTCACTGTTCTGTTAAATTTGGGACATGAAGCATAATGGCATGGCATTTAAATCCTTTTAACAAGTGCACTCAGTACTATTATTTATTACAACTCACTAAACAACTAAACAAAGCATAGAAGGGGGTAAGTGCTGTTTGAGTGATATTTTTATTCTCTCCTGTTGATCAGTTAGATTGCACTAACTGACACATGGAGAATCTCCATATTTCTGAATCAGCTGTATGCGCCTTGCTATCCTAATGTCAGGGTTCCAAATAGCATCCAAAATTAAATCAGAGTCCAAGGCAAAGAACTGCTCAAAGTTCCAATTTATTAAGAGAGCCATGTTAGCACATCTGGGAAAACCCAAATCTGACGGCTTCCCGGTTTTCCCACCCAGTTGAAAGTTCAAGATCTTGCCCCCACACCTACAAGTCCATCATATGGTCCAGTCTTCCCATGCTGGCAGCTTCCACCCATCCAGTTCCAGTCAGGTGCAAAGACAAAGGATGACCTTGGCTTTCTAGAAAGAATTTTGTTATGGCTACATATCATCTAGGTCCGTACAATCCCCTCTCCCATTTTCCTACAATAGAAAATACATAGTAGAATAATAGAAAGTGTGACAGGCCTGAGATCCACAGGCAAATATGGCTGCAGGCCTGACACCTTCCATATTTCCACCAACATCTTTGGGGAATTTTTGGAACTAAGAAAGAATTTTTTTAAACTTTTTGTAAGAATTAAATATACATAATATACTTTGTAAATAATTAGTTACAGTTCAGATTTATGTTAATTGAAAGAACACAGGCAAAATCATTGTTTGACTCCTCATTTCTTGTGTCTTTTGCAGCCTGTTAATCAAGGAAGCCACTATCAGAAAGAAATGAATCCTCTTTCTCAGTCCAACCCAAGGTAAGTTGCTGTTTACAGCCCAGGCAAAACCGATGTGTTGAGAATACGGGGAGAACCAGTCAGTGTAACTTTTCCTTTGTGTACTCTTAAATCTTACTGCCAGTTTCTCCATCTTAATAGGAAATGTGTATTTCCAGCCTTGACCACACTTATGCTCACGCATAAGTAGAAACCTGAGGAATGGAAATGATTGCTGATATGTGGCTCAGCAGTTGAGTGTATTTGGACCAGTGCATTCATTTTTAGCAACCACAAACAACAGCAGTGTCCACAGACTGGAAACAAATAAATTGGAAAGCATTTATCATCACAAGTCCTGGAATTCAGAAGTGGCTGTCTTGAACCTAGAACAGTGCTTTACTATCTTTTTGTATTCCTATGTCTTGAAAGTAGTTTCAAGAATTCAGTAATGCCCCCCTTAGAAAAGAGGCAAAAATTGAAAAAAACATTGATTTTTTTCCCCATCTTATCTGAACTGAAGATGATTTCTTAACTAGAGAGATTGTTTTCATAAGAAGCACAGGCTAAGTTGGAATATCTACCTCTGTGGACATTCTTATAACTCAGGCTTTCTTCTACAGGGCAAGGGCATTGTGCCCCCTTTTCTAGATTACCTAAAAGACAGATGTTCAAATAATCTCTTGACAAAATAATTCCTATGGGTATTAGAAAACTCTTTTAAAAAGCTAGCTCAAGGCAAACCTGGCTTAGGAACCAAAAGCACTTTGTACAAAGACTTTAGAATGAAGAAAATTCTTTTTCTTTGTTTATCTTTGCTGCAAGAATTTTTCCAAATTTGTGTTAAATTGTTCTACGATTTTTTTAAATTTAATCTGATGTGAACTGGGGAGGATAAGCTTATAGTGCACTGATGAAGACAGCAGCATATTCAGTGGACCTTGGTACTGGCTGGACCTCAGTTTTTGCTATGTCATAATATAAAGCTTGTGGGCAGCTGCCTAAAACTAAAATTAGTTCTTTCCAAGCATGATTCTCATAGCATCTGTTACGATTAAGAAGATATTATTATTAAGAAGATAAGAGTTGGCTTATGAGAATTCCAGCAATTGAATTGATTTCTGTATCCCTGAGTAGATGACAGTAAATACACCTTGATTTTTTTTAAAGAGCCTTCCTGTGATTGACCCAGCTTTCCATACATAATTAAATCAAAATTACCTTTTTGTAGTAGCAATTCAGACATATTGCGTCTATTTTCCACACTCTATACATTAGGCAACAAAGTCTGTGAAGTTTATAAAAGTTCTACTTTTCATTTCATTTCTTTTCATTTTATTTCTCCTTGAAGGTCCACTATCTTGTCCTGTTCCATGGTACATGTTTCTTTCCCTGAAGTCTCAAAACCCTTTTTTGTTCTGTCAGATTCTTAAATCGTTCTATATTTTCCTACTGCAGAATAGCTTCTAAATCTACTTATGGAGATTCTTAGTCATTGGCATTGCTTCTTTTTGATGGTCTTCCTCTTACGGCTCTTGATACAAAAACCTCCTTTGTTTAATTTGATAAACTTCCTTCTTCTCTCATCACCTGAGATGTGGCTACTCATTGCTCCAATCTTCTAGCTTTTTCTTCAGGCAAATGTACAAAATGCTAACATTTTCTTTTAATTAAGCACAAGGTTAGCAACAATAGAGTATTAATTTCTTCTAGTTTTGTAATAAGAATCCAAACATACCAGAAGCATTTACAGATCACAACTGAAAAGTTCTTTCTCTCCAGTAGTCACTTTTGCATTTTTAAGCACTAGTAGAATTCTTTTATCTGTGACAGTTTCTTTCTTAAATTCTAGGAATAGCTAACTAGAAGGTATTGATGTCAAGGAAAAGGACTCTCTCTTTAACTCAACTACCAAACTCCAATAAGAAATTCTTGCTTCATCCACCCCACCATCACCTCCCCAATTTTCCTGCAAATTCAGAAATCTAGATGTGCAGCACTTTACTGACCTTTGGTGTTTCGAAGAATGGCAAGAAAAGGGAAGAACTTGATGTTTAGCCAAAAGTTATCTGATTCCATGCAGATGATTTGAAGAATCATAGATTTGTTGAGGGGAAGGAAAGTAGGGCAAATGGCTCTCTACTCACTCTTCCCTACAAATCAATCCATTCCACCTCCAGTGGTACTAGAGAATCTGATGCGTGACACACAACTTTTTTGATTCATGTCCAGTAGTCCCCTCGAAGACCACTAGACCCCTGAAAATACACACCAGTGTATTCTCTATGCAGATTCTCAGTCATGAAGGTCATGGTTGTCCCAAAGGTGCTTTTTTTCAAGAGGGAACTGGCCTTTCTGATTTTTCTTTGAAGGCAGAAGCTAAAGAACTTCTTGGATGAGAAGCGAAATGTCTTTTTTAAAAAAACAAGTGGGCAATCATTTAAATAGGAGCTAGCAGTGTGCAGCAGCTGCCAAAAAAGCCAACACAGTTCTAGGCTGCCTAAACAGAGGGATAGAATCAAGATCACGTGAAATATTAATACCACTTTATAATGCCTTGGTAAGGCCACACTTGGAATACTGCATCTAGTGTTGGTTGCCACAATGTAAAAAAGATGTTGAAGCTCTAGAAAGAGTGCAGAGAAGAGCAACAAAGATGATTAGGGGACTGGAGGGTAAAACATATGAAGAACGGTTGCAGGAACTGGGTATGTCTAGTTTAATAAAAAATAAGGACTAGGGGAGACATGATAGCAGTGTCCTGATATCTCAGGGGCTGCCACAAAGAAGAGGGAGTCAAACTATTCTCCAAAGCACCTGAGAGTAGGCCAAGAAGTAATGGGTGGAAACTAATCAATGAGAGAAGCAATGTAAAACTAAGGAGAAATTTCCTGACAGTGAGAACAATTAATCAGTGGAACAGCTTGCCTCCAGAAGATGTGAATGCTCCAACACTGGAAGTCTTTAAGAAGATGTTGGATAACCATTTATCTGAAGTGGTGTAGGCTTTCCTGCCTAAGCAGGGGTTTGGACTAGAAGACCTCCAAGGTCCCTTCCAACTCTGTTATTCTATTCTAAATAGGTACCACTTCAGTAGGAAGATAATAGTGTTCCATGTGCCTTTGGCATTATAGCCATGCTGGCCACATGATAATGGAAGTATCTTTGGACAACACAGATTCCTTTGCCTAGGAAACAGAGATGAGCACCGCCTCCATGTGTCAGACATGACTGGACAGTGGATATCTACCTCTTTTTATATGTTATGCTATGCATCTGAACCATACGAGGGCAGCCTAACCACAAGGGGTGGTCATCTAAAGAGCCACTCTTACTCTTGTACTTCTCTGGCCTTCCAGGAAGCAGGTAAGAGAAGGAAATGAGAAGAAATTAGGTCTTTTGCCAAGAAGTATCTTACTTGTTTCTCTCTAACCCCACATTGCCCTGCATACCCTACATGAGAAGAGAAAGTTGAGGATGTTCTTTAGCTTTCCCAATGCAAGAAAGCTGCAGTTCCTGATATATGGGGCAGGGATGGGGGCTGTAGTAGCATCAAAGAACCCCTTGCCCTACTCCTCTTTGTGCCCACCCATCTTTCATCTATGGATCAGGTGTGTCATTCCTTCCATTCAAAATGTTTTAAGAGATATGGGCAACTATATAGTTACCTGCTTTATTGGACAAAATGCACAACTGATCCCCTCCACAATGGGTTGTATATTTTTTTGGTACAGTACTTGATCTGTGAAGATTCTACCCAGACAAGCAGGGCTGCATGACCTATTTTGTCACACAGATGTGCCCAGAAATGAACCTGTGTAGATGAGCTAGCCGAGATCTGCATTTTGACAACTGATGTAACCATTTTTCTCTCCGTAGGGAGAGCAATTGTTAGTTGATTTTCCTACCAGCAGGGAGTCCATCAATCACTTTCCTCAAGTTGTCCTGCTTTATATGTGGGTGGACAGCACCAGTTGTTAGCCTTATTACTGAAACACAATATGGCTTACCAATGCAGGCAGTGCAAAGCATATCAGCACATATTTCTGCCACATCAGATGGACAGGAGGAAAGCACATTGACTCTGCTATGGGGAAAAAGCCCCCAAATGCATCTCTCGTCAAGGCAAGTGTTCCTTATTGTTCAGAAGTACATAAAGCAACCAAAAGAATCTTGTCCTTGTGTTGATCCATTTATTCTCACGCTTGCTTTGTTTCATTACCGTGTTTTTCCGAAAATAAGACACGGTCTTATTTTCTTTTGACCCCCAAAATATGGCTTGGGCCTTATTATTGGGGAAGGGCTTATTGTTTTGGGGTAGCCGGGTAGCTGCTCTCTTGCAAGCAGGCTCCCGAAGACCCAGGTACAGCCTCAAGGGCGAACGGCTGTGTTGCGCAGTCACAACAGCGCAACACAGCAGCCATGAGATGACCACACTCACGAGCAGCCGCCTGGAAACCCCCTTTCCAGCCAGGCACAGCACCATTCAATGACCTAGGGTATCCCAAAGGCACCAAGCCGCATGAACGCCTGTTCCCCTCCCCCTGACTCCCGCAGCTTGGTGCCTTTGGAATACCCCTAGGTCAGTGAATGGCACTCTGCACACCTGGAGAGGGGGGTTGCGTGAGCGGCTTTTCCGCTCCCCACTTGCGCACCTCCCAGCCTCACCATGCCCTGGCCCAGCTCTCCCTGCAGGGCCAGGATGCCGCCGCCACTGCCATCCCAGCATGGCTTCTTCTGCGGCTTCCAAACCCCGGAGGTCGGCTGCCAAGTCTTCCATCATTGTCCACTCTGGGTGTACAATCTATGGTTCCGGCAGCTGACCCATGACCTAGCGGTATCCTGAAGGCGCCAAGCAAATCAAGCACCTTTGCGCCCTCCCCCGGGGCTTATTTTCAGGGGAGGGCCTTATTTCCAGGACAGGTCATATTTTCGGGGAAACACAGTATAAACCTTTCTTAACACATACAATAACCAACCTTCAACTTCATATTCCATAATTGAAGCCAATTAATTAATTGTGTACTTTCTCTAACAATAAGCATTGTTGGG